CTCCTGCTCATCTGCTCGGGTGTCGGTAAAACGCGCGTCGCCCGCGGCCTTCGCCGAGATGATACCTGCCTTACAGATCAGGGAATCGGTCAAGGTGGACTTGCCGTGATCCACGTGCGCGATGACACTCATGGAGCGGATGTTATCCGTCTTATCCATGATGGTGCGCATCTGATCCACCGTAAAGTTCGGCATGGCGGCTTTCTCCTACGATCTCAACAAGAAACTACAACTACAACAAATCGTACCGCCTCGATCCCAAACTGGGCTGCCAAGTGGAAACCATCATTCAGAGGGCCAGTAACAATACGACGGAAGGATTGAACAGGCAGAGTACTGGTAAGATGAGAACAGGATGACGAGCAACTTGACAGACAGGTGCGGTACTTTCGCTTTGGCTGGGGCGAGTGCTGGCAGCTCGAGCTTGACACATCTCGGAATCTATTTCATGAGACTCCCAGTTTAGAGCTTGTCCAGGTAGTCGCCGAGGGCCGGCATCTCCACCTTGAGGTTCTTGCGCTTGCGGATGGCCAGGATAAGCTCCTCCATCTTGCTGCCCTTGTCGAGGCAATTGCCCTGCAGATTCTCCCAGTGATCGAAGACACACTGGGGGAAGGCCTGACCACTGGTTGCCTGCCTCAGGGCAGCGACAAAACCGAAGGACTCAGACACGGGCAAGTGGGCCTTCACCTGGACCAAGGGTGTGCCTTCCCTCTGGTTCTCTTCGAAGACGCAGCCGCGGCGCAGGTTCATGCAGTTGTAAACTCCGCTCATGGCCTCCTGTGGGCAGGTGATCTCAACCAAGAACACTGGCTCCTGCAGCGTCGGCTTAGCCGTCAGCTCTGCTGCAAAGCAGCATCGGCGGGTGGGAGGCATGATCTGTCCCGCGCCACGGTGGATGGCGTCCGTGTGCAGAGTCACATCCATCAGGTTGAAGCGGATGCCTCGCATGTTCTCCTCGCACAGAGGTCCTTCCTTGGTGGCCCACTGGAACGCGCTGTTCACATGCTCCTTGATCTCGATGAGGTACTGAACGCCCACCGTGGAGTCCACGACCAGGTTGGCACCATCGGTCTCGGGACCGTAACACCAGATCTTGGTCTGAGCAACCTGCTTGTCCCAGTCGAACTTCTCTGTCAAGATCTTGGCTCGTTCCTTGGGATCCGCCTTGGGGCCAACGACACCGTCCTCGATGGCCTTGCTCAGCTCCTCGTCCATGGGCTCTGCGACCAGGTAGATACGGTTGTGCTTGTTCGGCGACTTGGCCAGGCAGGTCTGGCCGGACTGCTCGCTGACGGTCTCCCTGTAGGACACCACGGGGTCGGACACGATGAAGTCGCACTGAGCGTACTCATCCTTCAAGTCCTTCAAGCAGATCTCGACGTGAAGCTCACCGCAGCCTGCGATCACGTGCTCTCCGCTCTCCTCGGTTGTGCACACAACCAAGGGATCGGACTTGGACAGCTTCTTCAGGCCCTCCACCAACTTGGGCAGGTCCTTGCCATCCTTGGCCTTTACTGCAACCTTCACGACAGGGGACACGCTGTACTTCATGTCGGCGATGTTGTGAGAATCCTCCAGTGTGGTGATGGTACCAGACTTCAAGATGTACTGGTCAACGCCGACCAGTGCCACAGTGTTACCGCAGGGCACATCCTGGATCTGCTCCGTGGTGCGGCCCATCATCAGCACGGTACGCTGGATGTTCTTCACGTGCAGGTCCTCCTTGCTGCCGGGCTTGTAGTACGGGCCCTGGATACGGACCTTCTGCCCCGTAGCAATGGTGCCCGAGAACACGCGGCCGAAGGCATAGAAGCGGCCCTTGTCTGAGGTGGGCACCATCTTCGACACATACATCATCAGTGGACCTGACGGGTCGCACGAGCGGATGCCGTTGGCAGCTGCATCATCCATAGGTCCCTCGTACAAGTTCTCCACACGGTACTTCTGGGCAGCACGAGGGGAGGGCAACTTGGTCACGATCATCGCTAGCAGTGTGTCCGCTGCATTGATCCAAATCTGCATGGTGCGCTTCATCAAAGGCTTGCCTGTCAAGGACTTCTCGTCACCCTTCAGCGTAATGCCCAAGGTACCCATCATCTTCTCGTACTTCTCCTTGTCGTCGTTCATGATGGCTCGCATCAGCTGGTTGATGGGTCCCATGATGAACTGGCAGAAAGCACGCTGGAGCGGCTCGGTGCAACCCTCTGGCTGCTGCACGTTCGTCCACACCTTCTTCTTGGCGTTGAAGAACGAGTCGCCCCACATGCGCTGCATCATCTTGTCCTTCTCGACACCCATCTTCTGAGCATAGATCTTGGCAAAGCGCTCCGTCGTGAAGCCCCATCCGTGGAGGCCACTGCCGAAGGCCACCGTGCCCTTCTCTGGGGTGACCTGAACGTCGCCCATCAGCGCATCGTTGTATGTGGCAATGATCACGTTCACGTTCTCAATGGCGTTTCGGAAGCGGGAGTACATGTCCTCGGCTTCCATCTGCAACTCAAGGATGCAGCGGTCGACCTTGTTCACGAACAGGCACGGGCGCACACGCTCCTGCAGTGCCTGACGCAACACCGTCTCTGTCTGTACAGCACAACCCTCAATGCAATCGACCACGACCATGGCACCATCGGTAATTCGCAGGGCCGCGGTCACCTCCGAGGAGAAGTCAACGTGGCCGGGAGAATCGATCAAGTTGATCAGGTGAGGAATCGCGCCCTTGCCATCCTCCTCATCATGCTCGAAATACAGGGACACACCGGTGGACTTGATGGTCACACCTCGCTCCTGCTCATCTGCTCGGGTGTCGGTAAAACGCGCGTCGCCCGCGGCCTTCGCCGAGATGATGCCTGCCTTACAGATCAGGGAATCCGTCAAGGTGGACTTGCCGTGGTCCACGTGCGCGATGACACTCATGGAGCGGATGTTATCCGTCTTATCCATGATGGTGCGCATCTGATCCACCGTAAAGTTCGGCATGGCGGCTTTCTCCTACGATCTCAACAGCAACTACTAAATCTCCTACCACCTAGATCCAAAATTGAGCTGCATCCAAGCCGTTAGCAGATCACTCCCCCAGAGCTGCCACCAAGCCTGCAGATCACAAGACCGCCGCAAACCTTTCGTACACTCTTCGCGTGATAACCTGAAGGAGGATAAACTGTTCGTAAGAGGTTTCAGCAGTGTCACAATGCCCCGACTGCTGCCCGCCAATGTCTCTCGACAGCTTTTGCTTTTGCCACACTCTTTGTCCGCTCTTTGTCTCTTTCGACCACGAGTGAGAAGCTGAGCAGAAGCTTCCAAATTCTCAACCCTCTCGTCTCATTTGCATGTACTGCGTGTTCACAAAACCGTCCCTGCCGTATGATGGCGTCTCGGCAGGCACGAACATTCTCGAAGCAGGCCTACTAAGCCGTTCAGCCTGAACTGGTTCATCCAAAAACTGGCTTGTCCAAGCTGGACCATGACAACAGGCTGGTTATGTGTAATACCTCACTGGGACACCTCCGTGGCTTTCCAAGCTTCCTGCGACAGCGGCCAGAGTTGATAAATCACTGTATCAACATCATGCTCGCCCAGCATTTCCTCCTTGGTGGAGCAGAACTGCAGGCCAATGTTTACCACGAGATTTGTCTCCTGAAATCTACTAGTAGGAGTTCTTTCTGCGTCAGAGACGCTTAGTCAAAAGCATCCACGAGCATCAACAATCGTTTCGGCTCACCTGGCAGCGCCTCGACCAGCTCCGGAACAACGTGTTCCCAAAGGGCACTCGCCGCCCGAGCAAGAACAGCATTCAGATGCATGCGAGCATTGAAAGTGCCTTGACGGCAGAGCTGGTGACGAAAGCTCCAAAGCCGAAGATTCAGAGCAATCATGAAAGCTGCAGAAAGACTGAACAACATGGAACAAGATTGGTGATTCTGCTGCGTTCGTGTGTCCACTTCGAACCCGCAATACAATAACCGGTGCAGACTTCATTGCCTCCTAGGCGCTGAGCTCTTGACCTTGTCGCACAAAGATCCATTCCACTCCACAGGTTTCGTTGGCACCAGAGAGCCGCATCGACAGAAAACCAGCTTTTACGGCATTCCCGAATCTTCCAGCTTAATCTCTGCGCCCAATGATGCAGGCGATCTTGAAGCCTTAAGTGCTCGAGTCATTGAAGTTGTGTTTTGAATCCACGCGCTGGGTTCCGAAGTCACCGGCAGCCGCTGTAGCCAAGAGCCAAGAGCAGAGAGCACGGAAGCGAAAGGCCAAAGGCGGCCGATATCGGAGAGACGGATCCCCCAGCCGAGAAGATGTGCGAGAGAGAGAGAGAGAGCTTTCCCGCGGCTTCCGTGGGCCGCCTTGCCGGGCTGGGACACTTGGAGTCGAACTGCACTCCGTCGCCTGCAATGCTGACTGAGGCCCATGCCGACGAAGTTTCCCTCTGAGAGACGGTCTTGTTGTGGACACAACCGGATGATCCAGAGTCATGCGAGGGACGCGGCTGTTGATGCCAACTAGGATCCTGTCTCCCAACGGTGTTGCATGTATGACGGGCCTTCCATTGACATTATCTGGTCAGCGATGACGACATCCTCGATCTGCTTCGTGCTACCATCAGCCACCGTGATGGGCGTACCGCCCAGCGAACCTGCTCCAGAAGCTGCACAGATGTTGCGGCATGGACCCATTCGTGAAGAAACTGAGAGGCTGCACCAGTTGCGCAACCAGCTGACACGCTCCTTGCCAGAGGTGGGCTCATTCAAAACCTTTGGTGAGATACCGGAGATGACCTGTGGGAGGATGTCGTGCAGGAGACTTGTCAGAAACGGCTGCTCCACCGGAATGTCCGTCACATGAGACAAGCGATTGAAGTACTGGATCTCACTTCTGGACAGGGTGCAAAGAATCTTACGTTGCTGAAGTTCATGATCATGCGAACAGCACGAGCAGCAAATTCATCTTTGTTCCGTGCCATCTTCTGCAAAATCGGCTCCGACACATCGTAACTCATCTCAACTGGTATTGTCGACACGTCTCCGTCCTTGAGCTGCAAACCTCTCAACAATGGCACCAGGTCGCGACTCTCTTTCGGAATGAATGACAGCGTGCGGGGTGACCATGTCTTGACGAGAGCAGATGCGTTTGAACCCAGCACGCTGCAAGATGCCATCTGCAGCTGCTAGACATCGCAGTATAAGATCTTGCAGAACCTCGAACTCCTCGCGATCTGTTTCTTCCAAACATACTTGCATCCGACCCTTAAACTTGGGTTGCACGAATCAGGGCAAGATTGCTCTTGTTCCCAGAAGCTTCTTGAGTCCCACGCTCCTGCAAGTCCTTCTTCTCCAACGGGGATCTTGTCCCCACATTTACAGGTGTGCCCATCAGCATTGTCAGAACCTTCAGCTTCGCCACATCCGATTGCCGCTGCTCTCCAATCTCTGAGTCACCTCAATCGGATGCTCAGCGCACTAGACATCCCCTGCAGCTACTGGGCAGCATGGCAGGCAGCCAGCATGGATACCCAGCAACGAGAAGCACAGTACTGAGTGCGAGTTAGCGACCTTCCATGTCCACGAAGAGCATTGCACCAGCCGGATGCCGCTTGCCGACGGCTCGTTGCAAAGCTGCAGGGGCATCCCTCAAATCGATGTCACGGACCGTCAACACAGCCACCAAAACGCCGCGGGTTTTGCTCTTCATGGCAAGACCAGCTGGTCCAAGTTGCGAACTTCAAAGCCTGTGGAGCAGCCGCTGCTCGTTCTTCTCCCTAGCAAATCTCGGTACGTGATAGTCAGCCTCACCGACTTGCCAGAGTTCATACGACCAACTCCGAAATTACGTAAAGTGGGCCGCTCACACTACCCAGCACCTCCATGGTCTCCTCCTCCATGCGTAAAGCTCCGCCTTGCACAGCGTCAGCCAGCCTCATTAGACCCCTTGAACAAATTTGCGGGAAAAGCCTCGCAGCAGTCTGCGGGCTTGTCTTAGTCACCAGCTCCTGGATATCCCCGTAGTCTTGAGGACGGAAGGTTGCAGCTGCCAACACGACAAAGCACCAACGGTAGGCACATCATGACCTCTGCGCACATGCTGGCAACAGGTGGTACGGAGAAACGCTCAGATGTCAAAAATGAAGACGGCCATGATGCACAACGCTATCAAAAGTATCTGTGCTAAGCTGATCGCTTCCATCCAACATGTCAAGCAGCGGATACAGCTGCATAAATCCACCACACATCTGGAGCAAAGGCATTTCGCAGCAGCAGACAAAGGAGGAGCACAACACTCAGCATGACATCTTGAAACAGCCTCGCTCGGTTGTCAATCATCCTCTGAAGGTGCTTGATGCGATCTTGGCCATCTCCAAACATGTGCAGTTGCGTTTGCAGCAGACCGTGCATCTCAACAACGTATCCAATCAAAGGAAGGCGCAATGCCAAGTTGCACCTGGACCCACCAGCTTGCGAAGGGCTGCCGTCAATGGGTGCGTTCCTTGAGCCACTCGAGCTGCAAGGTCCGCTGCTGCTGCAGAAGTGTGGTTGGAGCTGTCGACGGCCTCTTCGACTGCTTCCAAGGACTGAAGCAATGCCCTCATCTTGCCTTCAGACGGGTCTTCTGCCAGCCGCTAGCCTTCGCAAATCTTTCACCAATTCGTTTGCAGGCATCGAAGACCAAAGCTGTTTCGCAACGTCGGCGATGCAATGTTCTAGGGCTTGGCTTGATGCCCTCAACGACATGGGAGCACTTGTGCATGCAAATGTTCGCATAGAGTGCTCCAAGTTGCTCGAGAGATGTCCGCGCTGCCAAGAGGCATCGCAACAGGAAGCCAGAGTACACAGAGCCAAAGCAAGTTTCACCATGCCGACGAAAAACCAACTCTTTCTGTAAAACTGCTAATAGCCAAATGCTGCGTCACGTCAGTCGAAAGTCTACCAGCCATGCTCTTCAGCAGCCGCATACCATTGGTTTTCAGTTCTGATGGACTAAGAAGAAACTGCGCAGCTTGCATCCTTCCTGAACGACTCTATGGCGTAATGTGAGCGCATTGTATCGCTGTTTCTTGTTCGCACGGGTTCGCAAGATCGCAACCTCAGGACAAAATCGCGCAGTACTTCCCGGACGTCGCACTTCCGGAGATGTTCGATGCTCGAAGTTTTGGCATCAGCACATCCATTAGGGCCATTAGGGTCGAACCAAGTCTCTGCGTTCAGGGGTGCAGGTCCCATGGTCAAGGAATGCGAAGGTTCCCATCCTGTCTTGAACGCGCATGGCTAGTTCAGAACAATGCGGCTGCATGCAGTAGTCTGCAACATTCGATGTAGAATCTTCAAGATACATGTATGACTCTTATGACGTTAAAGTGCTGGCACACTTAACTTCCAGCAGCAAGCCTCAGCCCTCAGCCACGACGACTGAAGCCTTTTCTTCTCCATCGGAGGCGATGCCATCCCATCACCACGTGTCCAGTTCTTAGACCGTGGTGTGCGGAAGGACTCCGGCCTCAAGAAGTCCAGAGGCCGTGAAGTCCTGCGGCGTCGCTCCGAAGGCCGCAGCCTTGGTGCTCAGCACCTGGGGCGATGGGGCGATGCCATGCCGTTTCCGGTAACAAGGACACGCACTTCTCCCACCTGCTTGAAGGTCGAAGCCGTGACTTCGGCCACGGACGCCGTCACCTCGTCTGGCGTCGCCGTCGAGGGACATGGGAAGGTGAAGAAGCAGAAGACGTCCATGTTCTGCTGCTTTATGTGGGCATCAAACCGGAGGGCAAAGTCCTGTGCCCTGAGACCATACCCGATGACGTCTGCAAGGGACTCCTTCATGGCCTGAATGCTCGCGTCCTGCGCCGTGTGGACATCTTAAGAACCAAAGAAGTTGGAAACGGTCCTCAATGTCATGGATCTGACCTGCCGACTTCCCACTGTACTCGCTCATGTTGTAAGTCAGCTCAAACTTCCCCTGAAGCGTGATCTGACCTGCCACAAGCCCATCACAGTAACGCTTTCTCCTCCCGTTTCTCTTATACTTCCTGAAGCAAGGTGTTTCGTTTAGGGCTGCTTGGTGATGGTTCGTGTCCTCATCATGCCCCACCCAAAATCTCCAAGTCCCTGCACGAATTCGCAGAGGATGCTCTCAGAACGGTCGTAGAGATCACAAGCCAAGCGCAAACACAAAAGTGCGTTCGGAACATGAGGATCCCTTTAACTGGCATTTAAGCCCCAAATACCACAAGGCCCGGAAGCCTCCTTCGTGCTGTCGAGTCGCTGTCGAGGTCCGCGTTGTGGCCACCCCGGCCTCGATGCCCAACCGACAAAAGCTCACGCCTCAGGCCTTGCGGGGCAATTCGTTCGCTCAGTGACCGGCTAGAGCGTTGAAGGAGCGCGGCACTGCGAGCAGCGCAGGCAAGGTCTCCTGCTGCGAGGCACCCAACCGCATCCCGATTCCAAGACGGTTCTGTAGCTCTGCCTGTACAGAGCTCAGATCGTACGAGAAGCGGAAGGATAAGAGCCATCTTCAGAGCCATCCTGGGGGCACAGCTTGGAATCTTAAGAAGCCTCCCATGGGGACTTATGAAGGCATCCGAGCTGCACAAAAGCCCTGCAGTAGTTTGATGGGGAAGGTTAGCTTCGAGATGAACTGCTGCAGATGTTTGCCGGTCCGAAGCACGCATGTGCGAACATGTGAAAATGACTTTGCAAAACTCTGCCGAAAGTGGCCCCCTTAACAAGCTGAAGAAGGCGACTGCGAAAATGCGGATGCTGGGCCCGTTCCGCTGCAGCTTCCGTTCCGGATTTCGTGAACCGACAGTTGTTTCAAGTCGAATGCCGATGACCGTGGTATACCTTTTCGATGTGTATGCTGCACGGCAGCAACTGCTGCTATGTGCTTCAACGGGATCTCTTCTGGAATCCTCTGATGGGTCTCTGCTTCCCGATATATCAAAGCCGCGGCGGGTGCAACCTGCACGTTCACCGCCGCTACTTGTCTGAGGTGCAGGCTCTAGAAAACTACGTCAAATTGTTATGTATTGCTGCCTCGTGTTTTGCGGCCAAAACGAAGCACTCTGAAAGTTGCAATTGGCAGTACAACAAGCCTCATAGCCATAGCCAGCAAGGTTTGGGGCGTTGGCGCAAACGCTGAAACCAGCCAGGTTTGGTTGGCTGGCGCAAATAAATTAAATGCACAATGTGTAATTGAACATTCCGCCTTGCATTCATATAGTTATTCATTTGAATTGTTGTATGTTTCGAACATACCTGGACCTACAAGTACAAACGTATGTACAAAAAGATCTTTCTGCAATCACATGTCAAAAAACACAGGATTTGCACAATACCTTTCGCAAACTCACATCGCGCAGCGCAGACATTGTGTTGCCACCAACCGTAAACAGAAGGAGTTGTTCTTGACAAATGCCAAAATGCCCCCCAACATAGACCTCCGTGAGATGCAAACGTGTACAAACATATCTTTAAAGCTCGACCCCCAACCTCCGTTTCATAGGCACCTCCATGTGTCCATGTTCACACCATCCGGAAAGCCAGGAAAAGGGCAGCCTGAAACCATCAAGCCGGGCACTGCCGGAGACATTCAGACTCGGGAAGGACCGGAGGCCCGGAGCAATAGGTATCCTACCCTGGCTGCGTCTTCAACCGGCCGGAAAGAAGGGCCAACCGGAGGAAGTCCATGACTGAGAAAGTCCCGGCCAGGAGCACGGATGTCCACGACAAGGCTCGTGCAAAGGGTACCAGTGATCCGGGACGGCCTCTCGACCGGACCATTGAGATAATGGTAGGCCGGACCGGGAGCAGCTATCCCGAAGATCAATGACTTCGAGAAGCTCACCGGCATGCAGAGCCAATCTATCAAAGCCCAAATAGAGCGAAGCCGTACGTGAAGATGGCACCTACAGCTACAGTACCGCGGGAGTTGGCAGCTGCGTGCCGGAGTTCACCTTGCTAAGGGAACCGGAGTATGATCAGAAGCCGGTCGGAGGCTCGAAGAACTCGAACTGGCAACCGGCACGCCGGAAGCGACTGACTGCACCGGAATGCCGGACAGGGTGAGGACAAGTGTCTAGATGGCAGCCACAAAATCTATCTACAGCCGACAGCTGCGCGCTGGACATCACCGAAACGGAAGAGAACCTGGGAAGCTGAGAAAACAATTCGTGCAGGTTTCCGGCTTGAGGGACTCATAAGCAAAATCGGCGCGCCGGGGGCGACGGAGCAGACTGGAGCGACGGAAGGAAGGCGGCAGCCGCAAACCGGGAACGGAGCCCAATCTGACCCAGTGGCTGCGGGGTTGTGTTCCCGCTACAAATACGGGAGGGGGACCCATTCGAGGACGAGGAGCTGGCAAGCACCCCGCGATCCAAGATGCCACGGTACAACGGCCACCAAGAGGGCAGAGCCGACAAAAAAAGGCAAAGGGAGAAGGAAAGGGCGCCGAGAACGGCCCCTGCAGCAGAGCAGGAGACCCTCACACACGAGCGAGCAGCCCTCCTGGTGAAGGAACTGAAGCCACAGCTCATCAAGGAGGGCACGATACACGCCTTTCATGCGATGGGCAGACTGGCGAAGGAAAAGCTCGACCTAAAGGGAGTCACAGCATTCAAGTTGACAATACATGGAGGCCCCCGCGAAATGCCAGATCAGGGAGGCCCTCAGCCTGCTATCGGAGAACTCGGTCCTTCGCCTCAT